CCAATTATTTTGCCCAAAGTTCATCCAGTAACTAGAGCCATCATAATGCATTTCCATCAGCGAAACTTGCACGCTGGTCCCCGAGCAGTGCTAGCGTTGGTTCGTTCCCAATATTGGCCAATTGGAGGTAGAAAAACTGTAGCCAGTGTAATTCAGAGATGCGTAATTTGCTTTCGTGCAAGGCCCCGACTCGTTGAACACATAATGGCAGATCTACCCAAGGATCGAGTCGACGGCTATCGGGTCTTTGGAGTGACTGGAGTCGACTTTTGCGGACCCTTCTTTTACAAGCCTGAGTCACGAAACAAGGCGCCTGTGAAATGCTACGTTTGTGTGTTTATTTGTTTTGCTACGAAGGCTATTTGGTTGGAGTTAGTCAAGGATTTAACTACCGCGGCATTTTTGCATGCACTTCAACGTTTCATATGCACCAGAGGAAGGCCAAGTCAAATCTGGTCGGATAACGCCACAAACTTTCTTGGTGCCCGCAATCAGCTTCAGGAGTTGAAGCGTCTATTTCTGTCAGACACCCACCAGAAGGCTGTGAAGGATTTCTGTTTGGCAGACTCAATCGAATGGCATTTCATCCCTCCACGATCACCTCACTTTGGTGGCTTGTGGGAGGCTGCAGTGAAGACAGCGAAGCATCATTTTTACCGATGTGTTGGGTCCTCCGTCCTAACTTACGATGAGCTTCGCACACTGGTTTGCAACATCGCTGCTGTCGTTAATTCACGCCCTTTAGTTTCGATTTCAGAGCACCCATCAGACATAGACGTGTTGACTCCTGCGCATTTCATCAACGGTGGCCCTCCTTCGTCTTTCAGTGAGCCAAACCTAACCGGGCTCAATTTTAATCGTTTGGATGCTTGGCAGCGCGTAAGCTATCTCCAGCAGGTGTTCTGGACTCGTTGGCGGGACGAATATCTCAACTTGTTACAACAGCGAGCGAAATGGAGAACTTCCAAACCTGGCTTGGCTGTTGGCAACATAGTTCTTGTGAAGGATGAGAATCTACCTTCACTTAAGTGGCCACTAGCCAGAATAATCGAACTTATCCCTGGAAGTGATGGCGTTGCACGGGTAGCCCTACTAAAAACTGAAGCTGGCGAGATAAGAAGAGCTACAAATAAGCTGTGCTTGCTGCCCCTTAAGGATTCTGTTGAAGACTAAGTCTTCAACGGGGGGAGGATGTTGGGCTCAGCAATCATCGCTTCATTGTAATTAAGAGCGGCAGTTCATAGAGTATGTTATCATGTAAGAGAATTTGTAACGGAGATCACGCTCTCCCTTTTGCGTTGTCTCTTTCACCCACGCACCGGCTCAGCTTAATCCGCCGGCTCGCGTACATTGTAATTAGTATGCAATTAACTCTTGTTTAGAGCAGATGCTGTGTTAGATTGACTATTACAAACATAGTAGCGGACAGCACGACAGCCTAGTCGCTTGCTCGCGTCTATCACATAAACTCTGTAAACTCAAATAATCGCTAATAAACTAATCACTAAGTAAATTCAATCGTTTAATAATTTAAAGCTATTCGAAAAATCTCGATAGCTCAACAGCTAGTACATAGCAAAAGTTAACGGTTCTTTCTTAGTTTTCCATAAATTGAACTAAAATTTTGATCAAATCTACTGAACATGCTCCAGTCTATAATGTGCTGTAAAATTTATTTTAAAAAACCCTTAAAAATTTGGTTACAACGGGCTCAAAGTTTAAGTTGCAGGGTGGGCTATAATTATGATAAGCACTGTATATAGGCTTGATATATTATGTATAGTTGTAATATAAATATTTCCAATGGTCCGCATTGATGGATCTACTCAACTCGACTCGATTCCGAGACAGAATCCGTATGGGCTGTATAACAGATAAACAGCTCAGAACTAGCTAAATGTTATGGAATATCATAGGATTCATAGGTCGCCATCTGAATATGTACAGTATTAGCTTTTTTATAGCTTTTTATTATAGATATTTATATAGATATTTATAAGCCTAGAATTGTACTCAGCTTTTCCAGAAATCACACCAAATATTTCACACGTAGAAATTCGTAGCTTTTTTTCTAGTTTTTCAATAACGATTGCCAGTTAATAGGCTGAAAAGGAAAGGTGCTTGGCTCAGCACTGGCTGTCTGTATCTGCGACTCCTTTTATTGCCAGTCACTTTTGTCGATTTGAGCGCTTTACGACTATGGCCGGCTTTCCGGCTGCGCCTTATCGAGTACCCGCAATGCCCGCACTGGCATGCAGAGCCCGAAGAACTGGTTTTTATGGCCGGCCGGCACAATGTTGTAGTACATGTGCTCAAGCGCAAGCGATACACGAAAAAAATAAAATAAAGAAATGCCGGCTCACGTCTGCAGATTGAAGTTGTATTAAAAGATAACACATTAGAGACCACAGACAACATATCTCTCGCTCTCAGTGGAGTGCTCTACGGAAAAGTGCATTAAATCAACGTTCGCCAGCCCGAAAGTAAGTCAGTGGGCGTTGCATATTGTTGCGTGGGCAGCCCATGGATTGTGTGTTGTGCGGACTAATGGCAGCAGCTGCCACTGCCACTGCCACTACCAAGTCGATGTAAGCCAGGCTAAGTCTTCTGGCCGGGCCACACATGCAACGGAATTGCTGCTGTCATTAATGCAGCATTGTTGCTCCACTCAGCTCCCAGCACCATTTTTCTGCTGTCGTTTGTTGTCTTTAGTTATTCGTTATGCTTTATAGGCCAACGCATGTCTGGCTATGAACTTGGCTAGCACGTAGCCATTTCTTGAGCATTTTGCATGCCTTGAACCACAGTCGTACTACATGTTGCCATTGGGTTTTGCGGAATTTCTCGCATTGGCAAATTCCATGAACGTCTTAGGTGCGTGCCTGCCAGTTGACTTTAAGTTATTCCTAGAAAGAACGCACAGTAGACAATGGCAAAGAGCTATAGAAAAACAAACAAGAATGGTCTGTCTACCAAGATGCCCGCTCCCTTAGATGCTACCTATTTATATTCTACCAAGGTTCAGACTCGTAAACAATATAAGTAGGAGGCGTGCGACATCTATTTTTATGCCTAACAAATATTGTGCTCCCAATATTAATTGGCTAAGATATATAGCCATAGAAAATGCTTTTCAAATATAAATATAACTTTGAGCCTCAGCTTATGTGTGTATTATTTTTCAGTCGAGAATATGGCTTTAATGTATTTCCTATACCAATTTGGCGCACGTAAAAACATTTTAATATGTGTATAAATATATTATTTGTAGATTGTTATTTGAATTAAAACTTTTATTTCGAATACATTTAATTTCTATATATTTGATTGAAATTTCATGTTTTATATTCAGCAAAGAATAAAAGATTGTTTATGTAGGATATACTAAGCGCGAGGTATGTCCAGCTGATTTTCAAACACTTTTCATTTCGAAATGTGTAAGTTCTGTAATTTAGTTATTTGTGCTTCTTCATAAAGTTTTCTGATAAATTCAATTTACTTCAAAAATCCATCCAGATATTCACACTCTTAAAACCAACTTCATATGCACAATAAACATAAAGAATCAAGAATAATTTTTAATAGTTTAGTGTAAGCTAAAAGTTAGCAAGAAACATGACAAGACAAAAAACTGTTATAAAAGTTTGACATGATTGCCAGACAACACTATAAATTCTGTTGAGAAGTGCAAAGAGAGGCGTTATTGCTGCGAAACGAGCGGAAATACAGAAATTGAATTCGCATTGTATGTAGCATAGTTTCTTGAATAGTTGCACCAACTCTCCGGCCAAACAGCTCGAAATAGACAAAACTTTTGCCGTCATTTGCATGTCCGCAACAGTTGAGGCCAAGTTTTCACAAACTATTTGCCTTGATATAGGTGAAGTTGAACATGCTATGCAGCCGAGGCTCAATTAAATTGTAAACTCAAATGATAATAGCGGTTCGGTCATGATTTCTTTAGTTTTACGTTTTCGATTGTGGTCGTTGCCATTTCCGTCGTTATGCCATTAACTTAAATTGCAATCTTTGCGGTGAATCCGGCTTAAATGGTTGCGCGTGCCACTCGACAATTTGTCTGGCAAGGCAAGAGTTAAATAAATTAGCGCCGTGCTCAGATATATCAAGAATTTAAATTAATTTAATGTGATTTACGTTAATTATTTAGCTAGACTTTTAGGCATATCTCGGCGACAAATTTGTCTGCTGCAATTAATTAATTAGACGAAAGGCAGCATTTGGCGTTTCATAAATTATATTGATTGGGTCATGCACATGCCACTCATATATCTATATGCATATACGTATATATATATGTATATACTTCTATATATATATTTCAGTATATTCATTATGCACACAGTTAATGTGCTCATAAAAAACCCATTAAATGTTGCAGCCAAAGGCACTTCAAAGTCGGTGTTGACGTCTGTCCATTTCGCTTTAGTACTCATTAAATAATGCAGCTATGTGTTAACTCTTATAAATGTACATATATACGAAGTCTTGTATATATACATATTACGTTAGTAAAAGTTTTCCAATATTTTTCAAAGTAGCTGCATTTAGTGGATTTTGAAGCTCATTTTAATCAGATATTTAAATTTGACATTGTTAATTATATTTGTGAATTAATTTTGTTATGCAACATGTTACATTCATACGGTATTTCAAATTAGAAATGCTTCTAAAAATGTTCCATGATGTTAAACACATTTTAAAATGGCAAAACAGTGCAAAATTTTAATTTGTTTGGATAATATTCCAATAAAAGTGAGACATGTATTTTAAGTTTTTCACCCAGTTACAACTGAAGAGCAATCATCTTCACTGCTTCCAGGGTATTGCAAATAAGTTTCATCTCTTTATTTATTTTAATTTATTTGTTTTTGTATCTCAAATTCTATTACTACTTTGCTTTTTATTAGGTTATACTACCTAATTTCTCTAGAAATAACTTTTATTTTACTTTAATAAAAATATCTATTCTCCTTTTGCAGCGTGTTCCACCGCTTCGTATTGATGATTTAATCAATGATTTACGCGATGGCACGAAACTCATTGCACTGCTCGAAGTGCTGTCCGGCGAGCGTTTGCCCGTGGAGAAGGGCCGCGTCCTGAGGCGTCCACATTTCCTTAGCAATGCGAATACGGCTCTGCAATTTCTAGCCAGCAAACGTATCAAATTAGTCAATATTAATCCCGCAGATCTGGTGGATGGGAGACCACCAGTTGTGCTGGGTCTGATATGGACGATTATATTGTACTTCCAGGTGAGCATTTCAGTACTGATTTAAGCAGCTAAAACATTTCACCCTCAACACAAGGTGCACGGTTTTTTTCATCAAAAAATTGAAGCACTTGAAAAAAATAAAAACAATTACTAATTGGTTGCTAGCGGTCCATTTTGTCACCCCTAATTTCGACCACCAACTTATGAAGCACCAAATAGCTATTCACAATGCTAATTATCTAAATGTAATTAACCCTCTATATCTTCTTTTTTGTATTTTATTTAAAAAATAATTGAAAAAAAATAATATCTAATAAAAAAAAAAAAAAAAACAAGCTTCGTAAAAAGAGGCGGAAAAACTTAGTTGTAGTTATAAATTATGCGCCACAGGTAGGTTGAACTCGTTGTAAACAGTTGTTGGTGTGTTGTCTATGCGTAATCCTCTCTCATTTTCGATCATTAAACTCTTAAGTTGGTAGTCTCAATTATTAAAGCACCTCAAACTTATGATTTGATCATTAAGTGTCGCTGCTGCCTCTATCACGTATATCTATCTCTAATATCGACTACTTTCACAGATCGAGGAGAATAGCCGCAACCTAGAATATTTGGGTCATGGTATTGGCGGTTCGGTTAGCTCGCTCGACAGTGTTGGCAATCATAAGGCTGGCGGTGATCTTAGAGCTGAGAAATGGAAGCAAGGTGCCAAGAAAACGCTACTCAATTGGGTAACGAATGCCTTGCCAAAGTGAGTATATAAATTACTAGAGTCCAATTGAGATTATGATACATTTCGAACTTTTGCAGAGACAGTGGTGTAGAGGTTAAGGATTTCGGCGCTAGCTGGAGAGATGGCGTCGCTTTCCTCGCACTCATCGATGCAATTAAAGCGAATCTGGTTAATTTAGCTGAGCTAAAGAAGACCAGCAATCGTCAGCGTTTGGAAACAGCTTTCGATGTGGCCGAAAGCAAATTGGGCATTGCCAAAATTTTGGACGCTGAGGATGTGGACGTACCCAAACCGGATGAAAAGAGTATAATGACATATGTGGCGCAATTCTTGCACAAGTATCCCGAACCAAAGGTGTGTATAAAATTCATTGTATGATTGAATGAAATATAGGTCATAAGAACTGAATCGCAAAGTTCAATATGGGGATTGTTAAGGAAATCCTAAGCTCCACTGACTAAGACTTTAATTTATATATTCACACTACAAATTTTAACTAATTAAAATGATATATTTTCCAGGGTGCATCCCGTGACGAGTCGCATGTGCAACAAGAAGTGGACGAATTGCGTCGTTTCCTGTTGGAGAAGACCACCGAATACGAGCCGATGGTCATGATGAGTTCGTTCCCACGTGATTTTAGTGAATATCTGTTAGCACGTTCTGAAGTCGATGCACACTTGCCTGCTTATAACCGACTCAAGCAACTGATTGAGAGCCAGAGCGGTTTTCTGCAGGTCTCACGTCAATCGTGGGATGAGATTAACGAGCTGTGGCAGCGTCTGCAATACCAGATGATGTACTGGCTCTGGCTATTGGACGCCGAGCTGCCCGGCGATTTTGGTGCTGTGGGCAAATGGCTGGCCGAGGCCGAGAAATTGCTCATGGACAACGATATACCGAATGCGATGAATGAGGAAACAGCTGCTGTGATTAGTAGAAAGCTGGAGGAGCACAAGCTGTTCTTTGCCGATCTGCCACGCATTGTGGCCATGTTCGACAATGCCAAGCGCTCGCCGCTGGCCCAACAGGTGCCACTGGAGCAGCTGCGCAACATGGAGCGTCGCCTGCAGGAGGTGGGCCCCAGGGCCGCGGAGCGCCGAATTCGCATGAAATTCCTCGAGCACAAATGTTGCCTGATTGCCTTCCTCAATTTGGTGGAGAACAAGATGCGTGGCTGGACCGGCAAGTACGGGCCCGAGGAGAAGGTCGCCCACCAGCTGGAGCAATACAAGAACTTCGTCTCACGCAACAAGATCTTTCAGGAGTTCCAAAAGGCATTCGTCGATATGCAACAAGTGGTCGAGGAGTATAAACGTGACGGCAATGTGGCCCGCAAGGACATCAACGAAATCGATCGCTTTATGTATGAGACCGAGGAGCGCTGGAAGCGTGTCTCCATGGAGCTGAAGTGTTGTCAAAATTCCCTCGAGGAGGTAGTCAATTGCTGGCGCAACTGGAATCAATTGGCGCCCAGCTGCGAGGAGTGGCTGTTGCTGGCCGAACAGAAACTGAATCAGAGCGAAGACGATCGTTTGGAGTTCTTCCAGGACATAACTGTATGGAAGGATAAATTCGATGCTCTGGCCAATGCTGCAAACTATTTGATTGCCTCCTGCGAGGAGCCAATTGCTCAGCAGCTGCGTCAACGTCACGGCGCCCTAGCTGAGCGCTTCGAGCGTCTCTTCGCCAATACCAAGCAATATATGCATGCTGGCGACATCATACGCTCACGCCAGGAATACAAATCTGGAATTGAGAAGCTCTCAAAGTGGCTGCGTGGTGCCGAGAGCGTCTTGGATCAGCGTCAAGTGCTGGGCAACAGCGAGCAAATCCGTCGCTACGGCGAGCAGCTGCAGCAGCTGGCCAGCGAAATCGACGACAACGAGGAACTATTTAAGAACATCAGTCGCACGTTCCAGTCGCTCATTCAGGATCTGTCGCGTGATGAGGTCGACAAAATGATGAAGCTGCTCAAGCAGGAGAAGGAATCGCTGGTGCGCATACGCGCCCAACTGCCTGCCAAGCTGCATCTGTTCCATCAGCTGCAGATACAGCAGGAGTCGCTGGAAGCGGGCCAAAAGGAAATCCACCAATGGCTAAACGAAGCCGAACAGCTGCTGGGCACCCACAATCTGGCCGGAGGACGCGAATCTGTCAATGAGCAGCTGCACAAGCACAAGACCTACTTCTCGCGCACCGTCTACTACCGCTCCATGCTGGAGAGCAAGAACAAGGTGTTCCAGAATTTGGTTAAGGCTGTCTCGGCCGATGATAAAATCGACACGGCCCCAGCCGCACAGCAAATGCAACAGCTGAACGAACGCTTCAACTATGTTATACAGAATGCCGGCAAATGGGAGCAACGCTTGGAGGATGCTGCCGGCGGCTGGAGCAAGTTCAAGGATAACGAACGTGTTGTCAACGAATGGCTGACACAGGCCGAGTCGATGCTCGTGGAGAAGCACATTGAATCGAAGACAACAATCGAGACTCAAAAGTATTTCTTCGAACAAGTCAACGATCGTTGGATGAACGATCTGGTGCAATCGGCCCAGCAGCTACTGAACACTCTGCCCAGCCAGGAGCAACCGGCTGTGGTGCAAAGTGTGGAGCAGCTGCAGTCGCGCTGGAAGAATGTGCTTGCCCAGGCGCCGCTGCATCTGCTCAAGCTGGAATTCCGTCTGGATGAGAATGCGTTCTATCAGTCCCTGAAGGATGTTGAGAAGGAGCTGCAGCTGGAGCAACAGGCTCTGAATCGTAACGAGGATGTCGATTCGATCCTGCAGCGCAATCAGCAATTCTTGGTGCAACAGGACACTGTGCCACGCCTGGAGAAATGCCTGCAGAATATGCAGCGCTTGGCCCAGGCGCACAGGCAACAGCAGCCCGGGGACTTTAGTCTGGATCAGGCCTACGATAATGCCAAGGCCCAGTGGCAAATTATGTCCAATAAATTGGCCGATATGCGCCAGACACTACAGCAAATACCTGCTCAATGGCAGGGCTATCATCTGAAGTTCGACGAGATGATCAACTGGATGAACAGCGTGGATCAGAGCCTTAAGAACATTGTTAACGAGGTCAACACCATGGAGGAGTTTGAAAAGGAGAAGGTCGTTTTCCAGGTGAGTTCAATGCTAATCGATAACAAATGCCTGAATATATATTTGACTTGCCGACATTTATTCTGCTTGCATGCAGCTGAGGGAACTAGTGGTAAAAAAAATTGTTTTTTGCTAAAATAAATATGTAATATATATTTATTTTCTGGATGACGGCACTAATCGAATATTTCTCATTGTAGAAAATCTGCCAGGATGCAGATAACAAACGTGAGGACATGAAGTGGCTGGTCAAAACGCTGGACTCTCTGCTCAGCTATGCCACCGAAGACGAGGCAAATCTGGAGCAAAAGAAGCTGGAAGATCTAATTGCACGCTACAAGAACCTTATACCCACCATTGAGATAACAATGGTCAAGACCGAGGTGTTCTCCAAATGCTATACATATCGTCGCGAAGTGCACGAAGTTGTTTGCCTGCTGACCAAGGTCAAGGATCAAACGGCCAATATTCCAGCGCCCGAAAGTCTGGACCGTGTCAATCGCCTAATTGAGGAGCAACAGTATGCCATCAATCAGCTCGATCATCAGCGGCCACACATCATGTCCATGCTGCAACGTGGACGTGATCTCAGCAAGGATGTGCACGCGCCAGCCTTTGTCAATGCCGAGGTGAAGAATCTGGAGACCGGCTGGAATCAAGCTTATACCGAAACCGCAGATAAGCTGCAAGCGCTCAAGGGCACTCAGGCAGTGTGGAGCGAGTTTGTCGACCAGAAGAACGATATCTTCTCCATGCTGCAAACAGCTGAGACAGAGCTGCGCGCTCTTACCCCACTCCAGACGGATCCCAAGAATGTCAGCCAAGATCTGAAGTCGAAACGTGATCTGAATGTGCAGCTGCAGCAGGCATCGCATCAATTGTTGCCCAAGCTGCATGCCCTGAAATCGGAGCTCGCACCGCTAGCCGCTGCCGATAAGCGTCCCATTCTCGAGAAGGAGGTGACTGAGGTAGAGAAGATGTTCTTCAATACCATGGAGCATGTCAAGGATCGTGTGGGCTACCTGGAGGACTACAGTGCCAAGTGGAACAACTACAAGACGCGTTTGGCCGAGCTGCAGGAATGGGCCAACAAGGTGGCGCCCAAGAACATTGAAGCCCTACAATCCGAGGACCTGACGCCGGAGGAGCGCGTTGTCAAGGTGCAGTCCTTCAAGCGTGTGCTCGGCGAGCGCATGAAACAGCTGGATCTACTGGCCGCTGATGCATCGGAGCTGGCACCCAAAGAGGGCAACGTCGCTGAAGCGAAACGACTCAAGGGTGAAATCTCCAAGCTGCAGGAAGTGCTCAGTGCCATCAATCGCAATGTGGACCATCAAGCACAGGCCGTGCAGGAGGATCTGATCAACTGGCAGCAATTCCAGGCTGGATTGCAACAGATCAAGCCCGCTGTGGAGCAAAGCGAAGTCAAGGTAAATAATATAGTTCCTAAACCTATCACACTTGATGAAGCCGTTGCCTTGCAACAAAATGCCAAACAATTTGAAACACACTGCCTGGAGCAATTGGACAAACTCCATGGCATATCAAACATCAGTCATAAAATGTTATGCAAAACCAATGCCCCCGATGAGTTAGATGCCATGCACTCCCGCTGGACAGCGGTCCATGAAAACGCGAAACAGGCGAGCGCCAAGCTCGAAAAGCTCGTCGCCAATTGGAAGTCCTTCGATGGCGATGCAGCCAAATTGGAGGATTGGATTGATCAGGGTGCACAGCAGATGGGTAAGCGTCCGGCTGTGCTAAACACTCCGCACATCGACAAGCTCGAAAAGGAGCTGGTCAAGCTAAAGTCCTTCAACAATGAGATATCTCAGCAGCAGGCCAAGCTGGTCGCTCTTGGCCAAAATGCCGATCAAATCAGTTTGCATTTGGCGCCAGAGGGCGCTGTAGCTGTCAAGGATCGCGTCAATAATATGAAGGGTAAATTGCAGAAGTTGTCAGAGGCCACACGCGGCAACATCAACGAGGTCTCCGATGCGATTATTTCGCGTCAAGACTTCAATGCCAAATTGGTCAACTTCTCCAACTGGATGGAACAGTTGCGCAATCAGGTTACACAGGTCGAGGAAATCAATCCGGAGCGTGTCGAGACCAGTTTGCATGTCATCCATGCATTGCTGCAGGAGCACGCCGACAAGAAGCCCAGTTTCAATGCCATTTATGATGAGGTCAAGCAACTGGCACTGGGCGCAACTCCAGAGGAGTCTAATGCACTGAATGATGCGTATACCGCTCTTGTGGTGAACTATCAGAACTTGGAGTCGAACATGCTGCAAAAGAAGGCCGCACTGGAGAAGTGGACCGAGCTTTTGGGCTGGAAACATGATACTGAATCGCACTTGAACTACTTGAAGCATCAATTGGAAAAGCCCGAGGGACCCTCTGTTGAGGAGCTAAAGAAGGCCATCGATGAAATCGATCATCTGGGTCAGGGTCTGAGCTACTGGAAGGGACAAGCCAAGGAAATCGATGAGAATCCCGCCATACAACTACGCGATGCACTCTCTCGTCGACCACTGATCGCCACACAGATCGTTAATGATCTGGAAAACAAGTTGGAAAATCTGAAACTCCGTTCGCAGAATCAACAGCAACAGCTGCAGCAGATGACTGTGCGCAAAGACAAGTTCCATGCACTGGAGCACAACTTTGGTCAGGCACTGCAGGAGAATCGTGAAAAGCTCGACCAAATCCTCAAACAGCATCCCAATTTGAATAACATAGATCAAATCATTGCCGATCTTGTGGCGCTGAATGATGCGCTTAAATATCAGGCAGATCTTAAGGATCGCATTCACGACGAGGGCTCTCTATTGATGCGTGAGGATATTGCCAGCATGCCGGCCATCCAGGAGAGCCTCCTGGTGCTGGATAAGAACTACGATTCGCTGCAAAATGAAATAGCTCATCGCATACAAAAATATAATCTCATCAGTCAGGCCTTGCGCGAGTACGCCGAGTCCAAGGACAAGTTCTCCAAGGAACTTAAAAAAGCTGAAGACTTGTTCAATGCCATACCCCAACAGCCAGGCGATGAAACCGCCCTACATCAGGCGTCTGAGAAGACGCGTAAGACTATGGAGCAGCTGCGCAAATCCAAGATGAATCTCGATGAACTCGAACGCCGCGGCAACAATGTGGCTAAATTGTTCACAGCCATTGGTGAGCCGGTGCCCCAAGAGGTGCAGCAAGAGGTTGCCGCTGCCAAGCAGCAATGGCAGAACCTGCACGACAAGACGGCCAAGAACGCGCATGTCTACGAGACTGAAGCAGTCATTTGGTCTCAAATTGAGGACGCTAAAAAGGATCTGCTACCTTGGCTCTCGGAAACCAATCAGGGTCTTTGCGATGCTGCCGATAATTCAATTGAAATCGAGTTCGGACCTATGCGCCTAAGCAAATATCGCAACGAGCTGCCGTCTTATCAAGCCCTTAAGGATACAATCCTTGAGAAGACCAACGATTTGATCAAGATCAACAATGGACAAGAGATACCCGCCTTGAGTACACTCAATCAGCTGCTGGATGAACAATTTGCCGAGGTGAGCAACAATGCCGAGCGCCTGAGCGCCGTCACCACATCGTTTGCGGATCAGGAACAGGAGCTACGCCGACGCAGCAAGGTAGCCGGCGAGCAGGTGAGCAAGCTGCGCGAACAGCTGATCAAATGCGACGATATGTCTGGCGATAACAACAAGATCATGGAACGATTGCTGCAATGCCGTGCACTGCGCGCTCAACTGGATCAAAGTGGCAACGAAATCGAAAATATCAAACAAAATGTGGATGAACTGCGTAATTTATATCCCACATTCAATGAGTCCATCATACCCAAGGAGCTGAACAATGTGCAGAAACGGTACGAGGGCGTCGATCTCTATGCCAAGAAGATTGAGAGTTCGTTGCTGCAGTTCCTCAAGAAGTTCCACGCGGACAAGGTGGGCATGCTGAAGCGTCTGATAGCCACACAACGCGAAAAGGTCGCATGGTGTCAGCCCGAGTCGACAAGTGACAAATACAATCTGGATGTAAAGAAGTCCTCGCTGCAGGAGGTCAGCAAGAGCATTGACGACTGCAAGGCACGTCATGCTGAAACGCTGAGATCCCTCGAGATGCTGAAGGCCGTGGAAACTCCAGAAAACCTGGCCGAGTTGAATGCCGATGCTGAGCTCATGGGCAAGGAAATGCAAGCGTTGCAGGATAGCTTTGATCGCATCAAGGACATCCTGGATGAGAACGTGGATCTCTGGACACAGTATGAGCAATCAAACGAGCAAATCTCCAACTGGCTGCGTGATGTAGAAGGTCGCGTTAAGGCGGAGACCAGCAGCCAGGTGAATCTGCCCGAGGTTCCACAGAAGTTGCAGGAGCTGGCCATACTACAGCAGGATGTACTTGCCCATGAGCCAATCATCAACAATTTGGAGCGTACGTCACAGCAGCTGATCGAAAAGAATCCAGAGGCACGTATTGGACAGTTCGTTACGCATTTGGTGCAGCGCTACCAAACCGTTGCCAAGAGTCTTGGCGGACATATTGACAAAATACGCAATGCACAGCTATCGAATGCCAACTTTGCCAAGGCATCGAAAGATTTTAACGAATGGTTCGGCGATGCCAAGATTGAGTTCCAGGAACTGGCGCGCATGGGATCTCCGGGCTCTTCGTCAGCTACGGCCCAACAATTGCAGACCATCAAGAACTATCTGAAGACCTTCGACAATGGTCAACTATTGCTAAACAATGCTGTCGATATTGGTGAGGGACTTTATCCAGTCGTCTCGCCTGAGAATCGCGAACGCATTCGAGCGGATCTACGTCAAATGCGTGAGAAATACGATTATTTGCGCGACGAGGCCAATGCGTTGATGCAGCAGGTTGAGGGGGTACTCATACAAAAGACATCCATAGAAGAGAGTTATACTCAGGTGTCGCACTACCTGAACGAGTCCAAGGCTAAGGTGACGGCAGCCGATGAACTCTATCCCACACTGGCAGCCAAGAAAGCAGCTCTTCAGAATTATAAAACGCAATTGCAGGAAATCACATTGCACAAGAATGCGCTGAAGCAGCTGCACGATAAGGCGGTAACTTTATGCGATGATGAATCAGAGCGTAAAACGGATGAGTCCATTCAGGAATATAATACGCTATCAAAGCAGATTTCGGATCGCATTAATATCGTAGGCAATCAAGTGTCCCAGCACGAAGCTTATGATCAGGTGCTGGAGAAGGCGCAGGATTGGCTCAACACCATCAAATCGGAGGCAATCGATATTTTGAATGAAACCACATTCGAGAAGGAGGGCGCCGAGGAGAAATTAATTGTCGTTGAGAATTTGCTGCAGCATAAGCCCGAGGGTGATTCCATTTTCGAGACATGCCACAATCTGTTGCAGACGGTGCTGAAACAAACCCATCCCAATGGTCATCCGGCGCTGCTAAAGGGCTTTGAGGAGCCGAAAAATGCATGGGAAGAGTTCATGTCGCTCTGCCAGGACTCGCAAGTGAAGCTCAAGCAGCTCTGCTCCAAGTGGGATGAGTTCGACTCTATTATCGATGAGCTCGATAATTGGATGAAGAATGTTGAGGCTGTGGTAAAGAATCAGAGTTTGAAGAGCACTGCCGAAGCTAAGAATGCTCATTTGAAGCAACTGCAAGAGAGTGCCAAGGATATTGAACGCCGCGGCGTAGCCATAAATCAACTGATGGATCAGGGACGCGAAATTGAAGGGGAAACCGATTTGAATTTGAAACTTTCTCGCTTAAACACGCGCTATCAGACACTGAAGAACCTGTGCAAGGAATCCATTGCCAAGTACGTAAACTACGTCAAGGATCACGACAGCTTTGACGCGGACTATGATAAATTTAAGCAGGATTTGCAAAACTGCGCCAACGAGCTGGCGAAGACCAATGAAATCGTTGGTGATCAGAGCGTATTGCAGGATCAGCAAAACAAATTACGTGAAATGTCTGACAAGCGCATTGTAGACTCCACTGTGTTCGAGAGTCTGATTGATCGCGGTGAGAAGCTCTATGGCCACACGAGTCCTGAGGGTCGTGAGATCATACGCCAACAGTTGCGCTCCCTGCGCACATTGTGGGACAACTACACGGATGATCTGAACTCGGCTACGCATAAGATTGATCATTGTCTGCTGCAATTCAATGAGTTCACCATAGCTCAAGATCAGCTAACTAAGTGGCTCAAGGATGTAGACAAGGCCATGCAGAGCCATACGGAACCGAAAACAACGCTCCAGGAGAAACGCGCTCAGCTGCAGAATCACAAGCTTTTGCATCAAGAGATCACCACGCACAATGTGCTCGTCGATAATGTATGCGACAAGGCGCAAATCTTAGTGGATCAAATAAAGGACAACTCCCTGAACGTTTATCTGCAGTCGATCAAGCAGCTATTCCAGAACATTGTGCAAAAGTCCGATGAAATACTGCAAAATCTGGAGAGCTGCGTGCAGAAGCACAGCGAGTTAAATAATGCGTTGAGTTCTGCTAAGACTTGGATCTCGAATGAGAAGGCCAAACTCCTGGAGTGCGATGATTCCTACGGCGAAAAGGCAGATATAAAGCGTAAAATTGAAACCCTTGGCCAATTGGCACAAAATAAACCCCAGGCGATGAAACTAATAAGCGAAATACGTGCGCAATTTGAGACCGTGAAACCCGCCACCTCCGAGAAGGGCATTGAGGTGCTTGAGAAGGAAATCGATGAACTGGAAACAACAATGAAGAGTCACTTTGATGACATCGAAGGCATCGAGGGCAAGCAAAAGGATGTACTCTCACAGTGGGATACATTTGAGCAGAATCTGGAAGAGCTCACCAAATGGTGTCGCAATGCTGAGGCCGTGTTCCGTGAGCAGCAGCTGAAGTCAACGCTGCATGAGAAGGTCGAGCAAATGGATAAATACAAAATACAGCGGGAGCTCATACTGCAAAAAGAGAAGGAAATCGACTCCTTTGGCGATACGGCACATGCCTTGCTCAACAACTGCGGTGCAGATCGCCTGAAGACGTTGACAACGCAAATCACAAATCGTTATCAACTGCTGCAGGTGTTGAGTAAAGAGGTGGTCAATCGCTGGTCCAATCTGGTGGACGATCATCAGTTCTATCAGGACAAATATAACGAGGTGGACTTGTGGCTGCAGCCGATTGAGACTCAGCTGGAAAAGGCACTCAAGGATGAGCCCACACAAAGCTCCAATATACTGCAGGTATTACTTTCGGAACGGGAGCAGGCCGAGATCTTGTTTGGTGCATTGAATGCTGCCGGCGAAAAGGCTTTGCCCGAAACATCTACCCAGGGCAGAGAGAAGATTCGCAAGGACTTGCGTGACATACGCGATCGTTGGGATAAGTTGGACGAAGGCATTCGTAATTTAGAGAAACGCCAAGAGGCACAATCCGTTCAGTTATCCAGCTACCAAGATATCCAGACTCAAACAGTCAACTGGTTGGATCAGGTTGAAAAGTTGCTGCACAACGAGAACCCGGCGAGCTGGACCAGTGCACAGGAAATTCGCTCCAAGCTGTATAAATACAAGGCGACCAATCAGGACATCAATTCGCACAAGCGCATTGTCGAGGCTGTCAATGAGAAGGCAGCAGCTCTACTGAGTAGCGCCGCCCCAGCCAACGCTGATGAGATTGCCAAATCTGTGGCTGATATTAACAAGCGGTATGAACAAGTTGGCCAGGATTGTTCTAAGCTGGTTGCAGATCTCGATGCCGCATTCGAGGTATATCAGCAGTTCAGTGAGCTGCAGAAAGCACAACAGGATTATCAAAAGAACCTGTGGGATCGTCTGACCGGCTACTCTGACTATTCGGGCAATAAGGCTGCATTGCAAGCGCGTCTCCAAAAGATCAATGAAATCCAGGATGCTCTACCAGAGGGTGTTGCCAAGCTGAAAGCACTTGAGGAACACATCGAGCAGCATGCGGTCAGCATACCTGCTCGATCTAAGGAAGCCATGACACGTGATTTGGCCAATTTGCATGCTGATTTCGAAAAGTTCGGTGGATCGCTGAGCGATGTGAAGAGCGGGCTAGAGAATCGTTTGCAGCAATGGAACGACTATGAGATCGATTTGGATCGCTTGATCAACTGGCTGGGCGAAGCTGAAAATACGCTCAAGAACTACAATCTAAAGAACTCGTTTGAGGAAAAGGAGGAGCAGCTGAATCGCTTCCAGTCTATGGCTCAGACTCTGCGCCAGAACGAAGCGGACTTTGAGAAAATGAAGGATGACACCTCAGAGTTGGTGCAAAGTTCGGGTGAAACGAGAATCGCTGTCAATGTGCAACAAGTTTCATCACGTTTCCAGTCCATCCAAGCAACTGCAAAGGAAATACTCAAGAAATGCGAGCAAGCTGTTCAGGATCATTCCCATTTCAACGAGAAGTACAAGCAATGCGCTGACCTGTTGGCCAATGCACAGGCACGCTACGATGACTGCAGTGATTTGTCTACGGTGGCATCACGCGATGATCTGCTCAAGAAACAGCTGATCATCCAGGAGCTGCTGGCACAGCAGCCCACGGCAACCCAGCTGCTGAATAGCACCGTGGAGCTGGGTGAAAAGTGCTATAGCTCCACAGCCACCGAAGGACGTGAGGCCATACGTAGCCAACTGAATGATCTTACCTTCGATCAGCTGTTCGATAATATTGCCAGTACTGCTCGCAAGATACAGGATAAGATTGCCAAGTGGTCAGGCTTTGATGAGACCGCTGACAGTCTGAAGAGCTGGCTAGACAATGTGGAGCGCGAACTGCCAGCTGAGATTGAGCTGAAGACCACGCTGGATGAGAAACGCAACAAGCTGCAGGCCTATCGTGATGTGCTCAATGATATCTCATATCATCAAGTGGAAGTTGGCAATCTGCAAGAGATCGCAGCTAATTTGCCCGAGAAAACTGAGCATGTGGATCAGATTCTAAAGGATATCACAGATCGTTTTGGCAAACTGCAAAAGCGCGCCCAAGGATATGTGGAACGGTATGAGGGCATTGTGAGTGCTCATCAGCAATACTCCAAGGCTGTCATGGATGCACAGGAGTTCATTGATGCCACTCTGAATACTGTGCACTACTGGGGTGATCTTGATTTGGAGCAGACCTCTTTGCATACCAATCTAGATCGGCTGAAGAACCTCAAGGCCAGTCTGGCCGACGAGTTTCCACGCGTGGATCAAGTCCGTGCGCTGGGCGAGAAGGTGATTCCCGGTACTGTTGATGTGGGTCAAGTGAATATCAAATCCCAGATCGATACAACTCAACAGGAATGGGAAGGTCTGCTTGCAGCCATCGGCTCAACTATCGAAGCTATTGAGGCACGCCTGCAACAGTGGTCGGAGTATGAGCAGCTACGTGATCAGTGCTTGGCCTGGATTCGGGACACCGACAACGAGTTGCATGCCATCGATCTCAAAGAGGATCTGCCCAAGAAGCGTGCCCAATTGGATACGCTGAAGGCATTGCAAGGTGATGTGCGCGCCAAGGAATTGGAAGTGGACAATGTTACGGAGAAGGCGCAAACCTTGCTGAAGGGACCCAGCACAACTCGTTCGTCTGGCCCCGAATTGGTCACCAAATATCAGCAAATCTTCCACAAAGTCAAAGACTTGAATAATCGCTGGCAGCAATATGTTAGTTCACACGAAGACTTCGATAACTCCATCAGCGAGTGCGCATCGTGGATAAATGGCATTAAGGAGAAATTGGACTACTGTTCGGACATGTCGTCGATGAGTCAAAAGGAACTAGACAAGAAACTGGCCACCATCCAAGATGTGATTCTGCTCAAGGACGAGGGATCTGCACGAGTGCTGAAAATCCTAGAGCAGGCTCAGCACGTGCTCGCAAATACCGCACCCAATGGCCACGAGGCCATTAACAAGGAGTTGTCAGAATTGCAGGATCTTTGGTCTGGCATTGCTCTGCGTATTATGGACGTCAAGGCTAATCTTGATGATTCCATCACGCAATGGTCTGGATTCCTGGATCAAGTACAAAATGTGCGCAAGTTCAACGAATGGCTGGATGCATTGCTCAAGGAATTGGGTGAGCATCAGACCACCATGACTGAGAAACGCGCCCAGCTGGATCGTGTCAAGTCCACAGAGGAGAAGGTTCGCGTGGAGAAAATCGATGTGGATTCTCTGAAGATTCAGGCTAAGGAAATGATTGCCAGCGGCCAACAGAGCCAAGCGGCATTCCAGGCACAAAAAGTGTTGGACACATTCGATGAGCTGTTTGCCAAGACCCAGAAATTGTTGTCGGATCGCCAGGATCAGTACAGAGATCATCGTCTATTCAAGGAAGCGTACGATGACCTTGTCAGCTGGATAAGTCGAGCGCGTGAGAAATTCCCCGCACTGAAACAGAGCAGCCTCAGCGACAAGCTGGCCATTGAGAATGCCGTGCAGGCCACCGAAGCTCTGCTCAATAAACAGGCCCAGGGCGAACTTCTGGTTGAGCATTTGGTGCACACTGGTGAGGTGGTTCTGGCAAGTACATCGACGCAGGGCCAAGAGATCATACGCAATGATATACGCGCACTACGTGATAGCTTCGAAAGTTTGTTCCGTGAGATCAATCAGCAGAAAGAGAACTTGGAAGTTACCATGGTGCAATGGCGCGCATATAAAGAGGAGTATGAACGTCTCATGGAATGGCTACAACAGATCGATATACTTGTCAAGAACCATAAGCTGAACCTCTGCCCCAATCTGCCCGACAAGGAGAAACAGGTGGGCGATATGCGTGAGGTGATGTCTCGCCTGGAAAAGGGCAAGGATGACATTGATAAGTTCAATGCCTCCGCTGCGGGTCTGCTCAAATCGCATCTGGATAGCTATGTGAACAATCAGCTTAGACATTTGGGCTCCATGTATCAGGTGCAGGTTAATTTGGCCAAGGATGTGCTGAAGAAGGTCGAAACGAATCGCGACCAGCATCGCGAATACGATGCGAATATGAAGTCGGCCAGGGATTGGATAGCGAATGCCAAGCAAACTATTCAATCTGCTGGCGATGGAGCTGGCTCGAAGGAGGCGCTTCAACGTCGCCTCGAGCAAATCCAGGACTTGATACGCAATCGTGAATATGGTCAAAATCTGGTGCACACAGCCATCAATAATGGCGAGAAGATTATTCGTAATACGCGCTCCGATGGACGCGATGCCATCAACAGCGAAATGAAGGAGCTGCAAACCGATTGGGATCGCTTGGTTAAGAAAATGTCCACAGCCAAGGTGCAGCTGGAGACGAATCTGTTGCAATGGGCCGACTACAGCTCCAGCTATACGCAGCTGCAGCAATGGATCACCGACCGAGAGGCCAAGCTGCAACAGGCGTGCGAGCAAAAGATTATCAAGTCGCAGCGTGGACAGCCAGGTCTCAGCAGTGGGCTGAGCGAACGCAAGGCCAATCTGCGCCAGACCAACAACATTGTCCAGGACATTGTCTCGTTTGAGCCCATGATACAGTCGGTGACCTCGAAGGCCTCTGATTTGCAACAGGGCGCACCGGCTACAGAAATCTCCGATAAGTACGAGAATCTGACCAAACAGGCCAAGGATCTGTATGCCAAGCAAAAGAACACCATTGATAGCTACCAGGCGTTGATCGATGCCGGCAACGAATTCGCCACTTGGTTACGCAATGCCAAGGAAAGACTGAGCAAGTGCTCCGAGCCAACGGGCGATAAGCAAGCCTTGGCCGAGAAGACGCATCAGCTCAAGATTCTGCAGGGTGAAGTGCCCGAGGGCTCCACAAAGCTACAAAATGCATTGGCTCAGGGTGAGATTGCTTGCCGCACAGCAGAGCCCGAGGATTGCGCAATCATTGAACAGGAAGTCGCACTTCTACAGGAGGAGTTCGATGCCTATGTGGAAGCACTGAACAAGGCCAAGGATTACCTGGAAGTGGGCATTGTCAAGTGGTCGGACTACCAAGATCAGTATACCGAGGCGCTCGAATGGCTTACCAAGACGGAAGCCCTCGTACAGTCCTACAACAAGCTGCAGGACAGCCTGACCCAAAAGAAGGTGGTGCTCGAGCAATTCCAAGGACATCTACAAACTCTGTTCGACTGGCAGAAGACACTCGATCATCTGAACATGAAGGCTCAGGTTCTGCTCGAGACCTGCTCCGACACTCGCATCAGCAATGCCATCATGCAGCTGACCACAAAATACAACGCTTTGCTGACGCTGGCCAAGGAGGTTATGCGACGCTTGGAGCTGCACTACCAGGAACATCAACAACACCATTCGCTCTACGAGGAATGCCAGTCCTGGATTGAGAATACTCGCGAAAAGCTAGCCGAATGCGAGCAAATACCCGGCACATTGAACGAGGTGCAAATCAAATTGAATACGGTTAAGAATTTGCGGCAAGGCTTTGAAACGGGACAGAACAAGCTGCGCTATCTGCTGGAGCTTAAGGAGAAGGTCATTATGAACACCGAGCAGAATGGCGCAGCTAAGATTCAAGAGGATACCGAATCCCTCAAGCAGGACTTTGATAAACTGCTTGTGGATCTGAACGATGTGCGCCAGAAGTTGGCCAATCGCCTGTCCCAGCTGGAGGAGATCTTCAAACTGTACAAGATTCTGCTCGAGTGGCTGGAAGACATTGAGCCCAGCGTCAAAGCCAGCGAGGAGTATTTGAATGACTTGAGCGAAAAGCGTGCAGCGCTGGAGAAATTCCGCGTCACACAGCGCGACATCAATGGACACAACGACATTGTGGAGAAGATCAATGTACGGCTGCGCGAGGACAATAGCTTGGACAAGGATGACTTTGCGGCTGGTCTGAACAAATTCGATGAGCTGCAAGCGCAAGTTAACAAGATCATCGAATCGCTCGAGAACCAAGTGAACAATCACGAGAAATACAAGCAGGCCTACAATGAGCTGCAGGACTGGCTCCGCCGCACACGCATCGAGGTGGAGCAATGCGCCGATTGTCATGGCGAAAAGGATCAGGTGGAGGAGCGTCTGAATCGCCTGGGCGATCTACAGGCAGCCTCCATGGAGGGCAAATCACTGCTCGATGCCTGCGAGGAGCTCAGCCAGGCGGTGATCGCTACCAGTGGCAGCGAGGGTCAGGACAATGTGGCCCAAGAGATCAAGCACTTGAATGGAGAATGGGAAACGCTGCAGGCTCTATCGCGAGATGCGCGCAGCGGCCTGGAGACCTGTCTGGCCGCCTGGGAGACATTCCTGCAAAAGTTCAACAAAATCAATTTGTGGATTGTTACAATGAGCAAGCGCGTTGCCAAATCACAGGAAGCCGATAATAAAACCACCGAAGATTTGGTCAATGCCAAGGTAAGCAACAAGTCTCTCGTCAAATCTCACGCAACTGTCGCACGCAACGCTAACCAACAGAAAAATATCTATAATCAATTTAAATGTACTAAAATTACTCGCAAGAGTGCACCCTGTAGCAAAATTTAAATGTATATCTACACTATATATCTAGATATATATCAGCATCTATATATATGTAAACTGATTCACATACTAAAAAAACAACTAATCAGAATTGCTAACTTTTCAGCTAATCACTGTCACCACACTCACACTATTGCAGCTAATCATTTCTACACAGACTTGGTCTAATGCCTAATTATGCTTTATGTGCCTATAGAAACCAAATCTGTTTCTGAGTTAAACATTAACTAATACTAAATTCCTTCTTAGAAACTGCTTGATGAAGTGCTGGCTGAACGTGAAAATGTCGAGGATCTGAACGACAACTGTGAGCTGCTGATGGAGCAAAGCGCCTGCACTCGCATTCGTGATCAAACCATCGAGACTCAGGCCAATTATACGAAATTGTTGACATCCGCTCAAGGTCTGGTGGCCAAGATCGAAAAGAATCTGTCCGATCATACCGAGTTCCTCAACTACAAAAAGGAAATGGACGCCTGGATCGAGAAGGCAGAGCAAGTGCTTAACGACTGCAGCATCGATGGTGATGCCTCAATCATTGCACAAAAATTGGAGACAGTCAATGTAAGTTGTTCGATTGATCCATCTATTTCATTCTGAATTTAAAACTATTCCATTCAATTGCAGTCGCTGGCCTCCCATTTGCCAGAGGGTCAACATTTGCTGGTCATGGTGCAGGATGCCTACTCGAAGGCCTCGAATATAACACCCGAGGACAAGCAGGAGAAGTTACGTGAGCTGATGACCAAGGTGAGAGAGGACTGGGATGCCTTGGGCCTGGCTGTTAAACAGAAGCTAAGCGACTTGAAGCATGCCCAAAATCGTTGGAATGATTTCGCAGCCAATAAGGAGAAACTCGATAAATGGCTAATCGAAACCGAGAAGACCCTGAAGGTAGCGCCTGAGACAAAGGGCGAGCTGAGCGAGATGAAAACGTTGCTCGAGCGCTACAAAACGCTCGGCAACGAGCTCAAGCAGAAGGGCAACGATCTGGAGCAGCTGATGTCGGAGGCACGTGACCTGGGCACTGAGGTGGATGCCGTCAATCGTTTGCAATCACGCTGCGATAAGCTGAAGAACGATTGTGCTGGCTACATCCGCGATCTGGAGCAGGAGATGCTCGACTATAATGGCTATCACCAAAGTCTGCAGGACGTGGAGAAATGGCTGCTGCAAATCTCCTTCCAGCTGATGGCTCACAATTCGCTCTTCATTTCGAATCGTGAACAAACTCAGGAGCAAATCAAACAGCACGAAGCGTTGCTGAGCGAGATCCAAAAGTATCAGACCAACTTGGATGATCTGAATGCCAAGGGTCAGGCGCAGATCAAGCGCTATGAGCCCACGACGCCTGCCATACGTCCGACTGTCGAGTCGCAGCTGAAGAACATACAGGAGAGCTACAACTCGCTGCTGCAGACGTCGGTGCAGATCAAGAATCGTCTGCTCGAATCGCTGGCCAAGTTCCAGGAGTATGAGGATACACTGGACAATATCATGCGCAATCTGGAGGCCTATGAGCCCATCATACAAACCGAACTGGATGCCCCGGCCACTAGCCTAGAGTTGGCACAGAATCAACTCAAGTGCGCTCAGGATATGCAAAATAAACTGAACAACGAGAAATCCAGGCTGGCAGCGGCCGTGCAGGCCTGTGAAGCAGCCACAGCATCTATCAGCCGGCCCAGCTCGCCCCTGGAGACGGCCATGCATGCCATACCCGAACGTGAACTGATGGTGCGCGCCAAGCTTGAAGATCTGCTGGATCAGGTGGGTTATATATTCAACTTAATTACCTTATTTATTGGTATTTATTATGCATATGGTATTATATGCCTTATCGTATTATATGCATTTGTAGTTGTTGTGCTTTCACTTAGTAAAAATGTTAACTAAAGTTGAAAATGGCGAAGTAGATGGAGAGAAAATATAGGATCCAGGGCATATAGAATATGTGATCTTTAGTAGAAATAGTTAATAAACATATTAATATATTTGGTTTGATTGGCTTATAAATTGATAATTTCATTGTCTAACCACAACGAAGTGTAAAATTAAACTTTTTGTTGCTCAGTGTAGAAAAAAAGTATTCTCATTTTTTGTTGGAGGTTCCATGTTATTCCAATACGAGGTTTTTTTTTTGGCGATATATGTATTCTATGTCCTATGTCCACGTTCTACATTATCTAAAATCCCTAAGTCTCTAGATTTAATAGCGATTAAATAATTTTGAATTATCATGACCTCATGAGAGTCGCGGAGGTATATAGGAAATCATAATATGAGTGAAGGATCAATAGAAAAATATGCTGAAAATATTAAGTGTCTATAGATTTACAGACAGACGGACCAATATATTTTTTTTTACAAAGGATAAAATATTGAATATTGCTTGATGTAGAAGCATTAAAAGCCCATTATACTTATACCTATGTATTTATTTGTATTTATCTATAATTTTAGATTTAGACAAAGTATGATTTATCTTAGATTCTTCCATCTATTCGCCTAGTTGTACATTTAAAAGAAACCTATTAATTTTTCTTTAATATCCTAACTGCAACATTTTTTGTTAATTTTTATTTTATATATATTTTCAAATTTACTTTTATACCTAATAACACCAACTACACCAATTTGATCAACTACAACCAACTGTACCAACTACTCCCAACCAAACACCGCTCTAACCTTTGTTGATTTGCCGCACCGTAACTCCTGTTGTTGTTGTTGTTGCATATTAAAAATAAAAACCCACTACCACGCCCACCTTGCTCGCCGCCTGCCTGTTCGCTTTGCATTCGCCTCTAAAAACAATACCAAATATAAAGAAACCGCCGCCAAAGACTCAGAGCTCAACCGAGGATGACAACGATCTCGACGTTGAGCTCAGCGATGTGAATGAGGCGCTGTCGGATCCGATTGCTTACGAGCGTATTCAAAACTATCGTCGCATAGTACAGCTGAATAGCGCACACGTGAGCAAGCTGAATGCACTCGCCGCTAAGGTAAGGGGTACTCGAATCTGCAGTGGTGTCGGCTTTACTCTCCTTACTTAGAACTAGAACAATGTGGACAACATAAGCTCGAATCTTTGTTTAATTCTGTTTTACCTTTACTTATGCTTAGGTGCAATCCCACTTGGGTGGTCTGACTGCATCCGTTAGCGAACTGGAGCAACAGCAGAAGCAGCGCGCCGAGCTGCAGGATTGGGTTAAGAAACAACAGAGCTCCGTCTCCGATTGGCTAATGCGTCCGTGCAAGCTGCGCCCGGAGGCCGCGCAACAGGAGCTCGTTGCGATGAATGATCTATTGAACTCTATTGGGGACAAGCGCTCCCAGCTGATGCTCGAAATGACAGGATCATGTAAGTTGCAAGAAAAATTAAAAGTTGGTTTAAGGTATACGAAAGTATTTAAATAGACTATAGTCTGGATCAGCAAAACGCAACCTAACATGAAGGGACAACAGTTAATGTTAAATGACTGTTATTTTCAATATTATTCGAGCTAAAGTCCTAAAATTTTGTATTCTTCTAAACATCACATTTGATGCAGTTTTCTGCATAGTATTTTGCACTAAATTTTTTGCTTCATCCCAACAGTAGGCGATGAGGACACCGATCTGGATGATAACATTGACAAGCTGGAATCGGAGCTCATGGATGCCATTGCCAAGAAGCAAGCGGGCCAAAATGTCATCGATGGCTATCGCCAGGGCATGCAGGATGTGCAGAACTGGTTCGATACGCTGATCAAGCGCATGGATGTGCTGGATCGCGGCTCTGGTCTGAACTGTGCCCAGAAAATGGCTGCCATCAATGAGATTAAGAACGAATACGAGCTGCAGGGGCATCCGAAGATACAAGAGCTGAAGGGCAAGGCCGCCCAGGTGGCTGAGGTCATTAGCAATCTGGATGGTCAACAGGTGGAGGAGCAAATGAAGTCGTTGGATCGTCGTTTTGCCGATCTGGGCAAACGCATCGATCGCAAGGCCCAGCTGCTGGATGTGACCAACAAGGGCGTTGATGGAGCCAAGGGTGAAATCGATCAGCTGCAGCAATGGGTGAAGCAGCAAATCGAGGAGCTGCAAGCGCCGGCTGCTCTGGGCTTTTCGCCCAAGGATGCGGAGGCGCGCCAGCAGAAGATCAAGAGTCTGATGAAGGATGCCGAGGCAAAGCAATCGCTGGCCGATGTGCTAGAGAAGCGCATTGCCAACATGCAACCCGAACTGGAGTCTGCGGAATATGCCCAGCTGGAGTCCGCGTTGCGTAATCTGAATAGCGAAAATCGTAATCTCGCTGGCGTTCTGAAGGCCGAGCTGGATCGTGCGCTGGAGGCGAGCAAGGCGCGTAAAGCGCTCGAGAATGATCTGGACAAGGCGCGTCAATGGCTGAAGGCCAAAATCTCTGAGGTGCGCAAGCTGCCCGTCTATCATCCGCTTACCTCCGCTGAAATCGAGAAGAAGATCCAGGAGAACAAGAAGTACGACGACGATGCCAAGCAATTCAATGACAGCGTCCTCACTGATGTCCAGCGTCAAGCTGCCAACATTATGAAGGATTGCGGGGATGCAGACAAGGCAGCGCTGCAGCAAATTCTGGATGAAATTGCCGCTGACTATCGGACGTTGAAGGATGAGAGCGGCAAGCGCGGCAAATCCCTGGACGATCTGTTGCAGGGACGCAAAGCCTTCGAGGACTCGATGAAGAAGATGGGCGACTGGTTGAACGAAATGGAGACCGCAACCGAAAGTGAACTGCGCACCACCAGTCTGCCAGTGCTCGAGGAGCAGTTGGCGCACTACAAGAAACTCCTGCAGAATGCCGAGAACATGGGCGGCGTGATCAACGATGTGTCCGAGCAGGGCAAGAGCATATTGCCCACGCTGAGCAATGCGGACAAGCTGAAGCTGAACGATGACATCAAGAACATGAAGGATCGCTATGGCCGCATCAAGCAGACAATCGATGATCGTGCCAATACGCTGGGCGACCACATCAAGAAGTATAAGGATGCCAAGAACCGGTTGGCCGATTGCAGTGAATTCCTAAGCAGCATACAGCAGCGCATGAGAGAGCTGAATCGGCCCATTGGCTCCAGAATTGAGGATGTCCAGGATCTGCTGGGTGCCTACGAAGGCATACTGAAGGAGCTGAAGGATAGCAAGCACAAAATGGGCGACATGCAAATGGACGATCTGCCCGAACTGCAGAGCATCCTGGCCCAGCAGGACGATATGATTAAGTTGATTGAGGATCAGTTGGCACATCTGCGTCAGCTGTTGATGCTGCGTGAGCAATTCATTGCGCTAATCAACGAGATCATTGCCTTCATTATGAAGTACACGGATGTCATCATTGACATCGAGAACTCCCCGGACAGCCTCGAGGACAAGATCAACAAATACGACAATGTCATTGTCAAGATACAGGAGTGCGAGGGCCTGTTGGCCTCGGCGAATGATAAGGGTCAGAAGATCGCCTCCGAGGGCAATGCTGCCGACAAGAACAGCATCACGGAGCAGCTGCAATCCTTGAAGAATCAATTGCAAAATCTGCGCAAGGCCGTCGAGTCGCAGCGCCAGAAGCATCAGCTCCAGCTCGAGTCCCACAAAAAGATGGCTGCCGAGCTAAGCGAAATACTGGACTGGCTGCACAACAACGAAGGCGTGGCCAAGTCCCGACCCCTGCTCGATCGTGATCCCGAGTCGGTGGAACGCGAACTGCAGAAGCATCATACACTCAGCAAGGAAATTGAATCCCAATTGCAAAAGTTCAACAAAATCAACGACAGCGTCAAGTCAGACGTGGGCATGCCCAGCTCTCTGCTGGAGATGCTCTCCGAGGGTCGTTCTCTGGTAGTCTCGCTGCCGCATGAGCTGGAGGAGCGTGAGAAGTATTTGAAGAACAATCGTGACTCGCGTCTGGAGTATATGCAGCTGGTGGCCAAGTTCAACGATTGGGTGCACGAGGCCGAGCTGCGTTTGCAGAACAGTCAGCATGGAATCGACTACGAGCACCTTGTAAACGACTTGGAGGAGCACAAGATCTTCTTTGGCAACGAGGTGCCTATACGCAATCTGGTGCACAAGCAGATTCAGGAAGCTTCCGACAAGATTTGGTCCTCACTTAACAGCTATGAGCAATCCGAGCTGTCGGCCGAGCTCTCACAGTTCCAAACCAAACTGGCCAACATATTGGCCAATGCCAAGACTCAGCAAAGCGAACTGGAGAGAGAGGCGGAACGCTGGCGTGAATATCAACAGTCCATCGATCGCGTCAAGGCCACCATTGAGCGCACTAAATTTATCGATGAGCCCGTCCAGAATTTGGCCGGATTGCACTTTAATATTCAGAAGCTGTCGCATGCCATTGGAAATGTACAGGTGAGCTAATCAAACAGCAGAGCACAAATAATTATTATTTGAAGAGTTGATTAGAGCTTTAAATGATTTACATTAACAATTTGAGTAGATGTAGATGAATAACTTCTCTGGAAGATCATAAAATTGTACGGAATACTAGAGCTTTTTCTATAATTCTATAATTCTTACACAAGAAAATTCTTGCTCGTTCGAAATTTTTGATCAATGCGATCCATATGTAATCCTATATTAAATGAAACAAAAAGCCTTGACAGACAATCGGATTATGTTGTCTTTTAAAAACCTTTTATTGTATTTATGCATACATATATACGCGTGTGTACATGGCCAGCTCAGACCTGTTTTAAGTGTGACACAACGAAACATCGTTCATAAAACTGCAAAACAAGAATTTGTATCTGCAACGTATGTAAGAGAATGTATCTGCAGATGACTTTCACGTTGAGTGCAAGCTGTTTTGGCTCCGCACATGATTTGCCGGCCGGCAAAACCAATAAACTTCAACTGACACACACTTTCTGCTCTCTTTGCGCTAAAGCTCTCTTCGGGCTCCGCTCTCTTATTCGAGCTCACATTTCAAATAGTTGCTTACTTTCATTATGTCTCCTTGAGAACTTATTAGTGCGTTAATCTTTTAACCTGCACTTGTTAAGCTTATCAACGACTGCCAAACATATAGTCTGCTGCTCAGACACAAAATTTCAACATAAATACATATATGTACATGTATATGGGTATTTGTATATGTATGTTTAAGGCCAGCTGTTCGAGTGTAGCTCATGACATCATCAGCAAATTCAAAGAGGGAATAAACCAGTTTTGTCGTGAGGGCTGCACAAATGAGATAATAAATTTGAGTGTAAAAAAATTTAAAATTTTAATTGATATATAGATTAACTTTTAAAAAAAAAATTAAATAATTTCTTTGAACATTATATATATACTATGTTTATTTCAATATGTTCTACGCTCTTTGCCCAGCCCTTTTGACAACCACGTTGTTTGGCATCAACAAACACATGTTTAACAGCAACTTTTTTGTTTTTGTGCCAAGCACTGAGCGAGCTTTAAGAGCGAGCACACTTCATCTCTCAGCGCTCCCAGTGGACAGCTGTTTTGTTGTTGTTGGCATGCCGGCTTATAGTAAAGCCAATGGCGATAGTGTATGGATGGCGCGTGTTGTGTATTGGTGAGCAAGTGTGACGCAGTCAAGAGTAAATTATTGCTTCAAACTGCACACACGTCTCTCTCACACTGTTCCGTGTCCTCTTGCCTGCTGGCCGTTGTAAGCTCAACGGTATGTGCACATGTAAATGTGTTCATTCCACGTTCTTTTTTTTGCGATAAACCGCACAGTCGCAATTCGCTCTCTTTGTATCTCACTAAGCGGCGCTCTTGGGGCAAGTTATACGGCAGTTCTCTTAAATTGGTTCTAACTCGTGCTTGGGCATATGCCGTATATTTTGTATTCGAAATTCACTTCTAGTTGAGACGTTTAACTGTGCGGTTGTCTACATTTTTTATGCGGCTTATAAAGTGAAGAATCGGCGACAAAGCAAAAGCAATAAAAATCAAAAGCAAAATATAAAAACAAAAAGGAAATAGTGTTATGTTATATTTGTGTTTTTGTGCGCAGCTTTATTATATTTGTACGTTCTAATAAAATATGCCATGTGCTTGACAAGCGCAAATTGAAAGAGAGACAGAGTGACAGAGAGAGAAAAGAACCAGACAAATTTAAAGCTAACGTCATCAACAAAAAGAAATACATTAAATATATATGTATATACATTTATGTATATAGAAAGAAACAATTAAAGTGCTGCTGCGGAACACACGCGTGTGTCTAGGTGAGAAATTAAGAGAGTACTTAACTTTCCATATTGTGAAATAAAGAAGTAAGAAAAAGATTGTGCCACATGCACATATACATATACACGCATACACATGCATACATATGTCAAAGCTTAGGCGATGAAATGTCAAAGGAGAAAGAAATGAAATCGAAGTGGAACCATAGGCGGCGTTACAGTTATAACTCAAAATATCCGAATGGGAAATAAATTTGTAGGCTAAGTACAGGGACCGACAGATACACACACATACAGTACTTAGGTAGCTTTATACTTGCATATATAGATATACATATTTATATGTATATAATATATATATATTCAAATATATACATATATATATATATTTTACTTATATACCCAAATAATTTCTAATCATAAATCATCAATCGAACCGTGTCGATAATCAAAATTGTGATCAAAAATTTCGAACTGTATCTGTATCTATTGTTAAAACCAAATCTATTCTTAATAATAATAATAGTTGATTATAGCTGTTATTCATTAGTATTGCAATATTACTGTTACATGGTTGTTATGATTATTGTTGTTGTCGCTGTTGTTGTCGTCAACGTCGTTACAGAGCCAAAACAGTGACCTCTCGCTGGTGAATCAGCAAGCGCAATCTCTTATACGCCAAGCGGACGCCCGCAATCGCCAGTTGATTGAGCAGGCGAACTCAGCGCTAAATCGTGACTGGCAGGACCTGGTGCATAGCCTGGAGCAGAGAAGGGATAAGCTGCAACAGTTGGCCGAGCACTGGGATAGCTTCGAGAACGGTCTGCACGGCTGGGAGAAGGCATTAGGTCGCTTGGAGGATAAGTTCCGCAATGTCGACCCAACTGTAAGGTCGCGACGTCATTTGGAAGATACAAAGAATGCCATTCAGGTGAGATTAACATTTACCTTTACAGAAGTGACTCTCAAGTGCACCCCCACACATACATGCGGTTAATGTATGAGCTCACAAGCTTAATTGATTTATTATAGCTACTACGTGCGCATCCATACATGCACACATATACATCTGTATGCTTGCGTGTGTGTGTGTGTGTATATTCATTCATTCATTTAGTTGGGCCCCTCCTCTAACGGCTTTGGGCATGCCGCAAATGTTTTGCTAATGTCAGACATTATATATATATATACACACACACACACACACACACTATTTTCCCTGTATATACACGTTTACATACACACACATACATATATTGCTGCCCAAGTTCATGGTCACATGCAACCTATCCACACAGAGAGCTTGCGCTCTCTTACTAAAAGCACGGCTTTGCCTCTCTCTCGCCCTACTCGCTTCTCTTCGATACCAGTCCGAACTGTAAATGATTGACTATATAAAAAGCTAAAAACAAAAGTCTAATTTGTAACTTTCAGTTTCTTTTGACGTGTTTTTGTCTGTTTTTTCTAATCACAGCTTCTAGCTAAACATTTATTCTATTGGCCCATTATACAACTGAGACAATAGCAGAATTTTTTTGCTTTAGATTTTGTTTTTACTATCAACAAACCGAGTTATTTTTTTGCTTTTTATTGCATGACTTCATGACTACAGATCATTATTTTTGCTTTTATACATTGTGTTGTTTGTGATTAGAGTGCAACAAAAATCAGTAGAGACTTATACCTTATCATTTTTTAAAGGCTAAAAATAGCTGAAGTTTATTTAAAGCAAAATATTTGAGAAAAAAGTTTAAATTTGCCATATAATTTAGATAAGAGAACCAAAAATTTTAGTTCAATTAAATTTAACAAATTTAATCTAAAAATGCAGACAGTTTAAATATATCGTAATATATTGTTTCATTATTTTGTTATTAACTTCTTTAATAACTTTCTTTCAAAATATTAAAATTCTCTGAGAAAACAAATCAATTAGCAACTTTTCAGCTTAAAATTTAAACCCTGAAACTGCCATTCAATACAATTCATTAGCAAAGTTGCTATATATAGATCTTGTTATATACTATAAATAGTAATTGGAAAAAAAAGTTGTGTTACCCAGTTAAACAGTTCCAAGAAAAAAAAAACTTTTTGTTTTTATTTTTATGGACTTTTATTTTTTGTTTAATTTTAATTTTGTTTTCTTTCGAGCTTACTACAAATATTTTCTGTTTTTTCTCCTATACATACGAAATGTTTGCTTTAAAGTCAAGACAACGTTTCTTTTATTTTTTTATTTATGGTATTAACCTTCGCTTTTTGTTTTTGTTTTGTTTTTTGAGCTTATAAACTGGAATTGAATTAAAAACGTAGCGTAAGTTTTATTGGTTTTGTTTGCGTTTGATCGCACGAATCATTAAAGAAAACAGAAACAAAAACAGAAAAAAAAATTTTTTTTGTTGTTTAGTTTTCTGCTGTGTTTGTTCTACTAATTGAAATTTATATTATTTTTGTTTGGCTGTTTAGGAACTGCGTGAAGAATCAAATGAACTTAAATCATCACATAAAGAAATCGAAACGCTCTCAAAATCCATCCTCACATTCCTTGGGGAAGTACACAAACCCTCGGCGGAGGCCATACAGGCCAAAGTGGATAAGTTAGTTGAACAGCAAGCAAAGTGAGTATCCGAAATTCTTTATCTATGTATATTTATATGAGAGTAAAATTATTATTAGACGAATATGATTACAAACAGTTGCAAAGGTTTAGGAGTATGTCATGATTTTGAATTGAACTAATGCTTTACATATAAATAGTATTTGATATACATTAAGTAATTTATAAGTATACTATTTTATTACTTAAAACAAGTGCCACACTTTTATTTATTACCGTGACGTTTGTACAATTTCGGATTTTAAACGGCGGAAATCGAATGGAATTCGAAATCGAATTCGATGCATAAAAACATTCCGTTCTATAATTGATTTGTATTTAATGCTAATTAGTTGTGACCAAATTAACTAGTTATTTTTATATTATATCATTTAAACGGGTTCCAAGACCCAGACAAGTATGTTTAGAGAGAGGCAGGTTTATATAGGTGTATGTATTTAAGAAGATCAACTTTTGGATTTTGGCAGTCTGTGACATCAGTTTTCAGTTGTTTTTATACCCTGAACCCATTGAAAATGGGAAATCAGGGTATAATGGTTTTGTGAAAAAGTATGTAACGGGCAGAAGGAGGCGTGGCAGACCCCATAAAGTATATATATTCTTGATCAGCGCGACGAGCTGAGTTGATATAGCCCTGTCCGTCTGTCCGTCCGTCCGTCCATCCGTCCGTATGAGTGCGTCGATCTCAGAAGTTATAAGAGCTAGAGAGCTGAAATTTGGCATGCATACTCGTGTGTACCATACGCAGTACGAGTTTGTTTTATTTTTTCGATAATTCATCCGATAACTTTTTTATCGAGAATAATCGAAAAAATGATTTTGTTTTTTTAGCCTAATTTGAACACTTTTAGACCTGGAGTCTTCAAACTTGCGTTGTATATAAAGTTAATGGATACAAAGATTTTGTAATTTACAGATTTTGGATACCACGCCCCCTTCTCCCCCAATTTGTAAAAAACGCATTTCGAGTACTAGAGACTTGTGCTTTGGAATGTACACATATATTCACCATATGATTACGCTCTGACAGTTTCATTAAGATCGTATGTCTATAAAAGAAATTATTCAACAAATGAATTCTCATAATATTGCCCACACTGCAGCGCAGCCCAAGCGCAGTCGCTGCTTACTGCGCAGTTAGCAGAGCGCAGGCTTATGCGTGCGTGTGGATGCATGTGTATGTATGTGTGCATAAAAATGCAGAATGATTAGAATATCAGCTTAGAGGGTTCAGGGTATCTCCTAGTCGAGCAGTCTCGACTAGAGCCTTCTTACTTGTTAGTTTTTGTTTTCGGCTCGCTGAACCGCAAAGCACTCGAAATTTCATGCCAAACAATCGCTGGCTCGCTCTTCCTCTCTCTCTCTCTCTCTAAATACCTCTAGCTCTCTCCCTGACGTCATGGCATTGGTCACGCTCGGTGTGTAGCTCGAGACGAGGTACTTACATAAGCCAAGTTTTCTATGGCAGCATAAAAGTCAAGTTCGTGAGAATTCTAGATCATTAAATTTTCAAAAAAGAAAATAAATTAAAAGAATATACAGTCGCCTTGCACAGTGCACCAGTGCACATAGTGCCTGGTCAACAGTCTGTTTACCCATCCATTAATGGGCCATATCAACTGACGGGGCATGCCCGCTGTTGCCTGATAACGGTTAACTGTGCCAAAGTTTTAACGTCTTATCTAAGACAGTTACGATAATAGACAAAGCGTTGACGCTATAAATTTTATAATCAAAATTATAAAAGATTCGTTCAAGTAGTTCACAATATACGCTATATGATTCAGAGATTTTGACGTCCACTTAGAAGGGAGCTTGTTAGCACTGTTAACTGAACCATAGCAAATGCTCTATATTCTATATAGTATACGCCTTTTGTTGATAAGATTCTGAACAAAAACAAAAAACTTGTTCGTTTATTTTTGCGGAAACTCTTTTTAATGGCGCTTGACGCAAAGCAAAATAAAAAAAAAAAATTATAAAAAATACTTTGCCAATTTGTCAATTGCTTTTGCCACACTCACACATGCAAACATATGCATATTGGCAACATGCTGCTCACAGCAACATTTGGCGCTTTAACAGCTTATTAACAGCAGTGAAATTCACCACGATTCGACGTTAACAGCGCTGGTCGTTGATCACGTAAACATTTTGCTTGTCGAGAAAAACAAAAAATAAAACGGAAAAAATTTATTCAAAGAAAATAGTGATAAAAATAAGAAAATCAGAAAAGAAAAGAAAAAAAATTCAGAAAACATGCCGCGGCCTTTCTTAATGCAGCACTGACACAAATTTTCACCCAAGACATGTGTATGTTTATCTACAAGAAGTATATATTTTCAGCGTATTTTTGTTCCGAATTTTTTGTTATTTTATTTTTATACACATTTTTCTTTCATCCGGCTGCCGTTGGCTTTCATGAAAAACGAGAGCAGCAGCTGCTAATTTCCTTTCTTAATTTCCCCATGCGCTTAACCAAATGTCTTACCGAATAACAATAATAGGTTTTTGTGACGTATGCCATATGGAAGTAGATGGCAGATAATATTTACTGTGTGTGGCCTGCTAATTGCGAGCTAGCGAGCTGTTAAATGTTTTCGATAAAACATTTTCTTGATTGTGATAGGCTTTTAGATGACTCCAATAATTGGGAAAACACTTGAAGGCCTCTTGTCGACACTTGTCCATTAAGTTAGATTTGCTTGACAGCTGTAAGGCACTCCAATTAACATGCGCATTAACAGTTAAGTTAAATGTGTCTGTTAGTCAAAAGCTGTAACTCCAGCCAGCTGTGATATTAGCATTAAATTTAATAACTATTAGTAAACAGCTGCTAATCATTTGTACAATGTAATTATTTCAATACACGAACAGGAATTACTTTCATGTGATTCAATCTCTAAGAAATTCCCATACTTACATTTTCAAACAACTTTCGTTATTTTGACTTGATCTTTTATAGTCATTTGGTTAAAATATTTACTCAGCTCTGCGCATTTAAATAATTACATCTAAAATTAGCTATAGTGTAAACAATTAAACAGGTCTGGCATATCATATTTTGAGCGAACGAGGCAAAAGCTGAAGTTCGTTTTAAACGGTAAACGTTTTCTCACATATTGGCATATTCCATATACAATCTCTAGCTCTCTTTTTGGATATCTCTATGAATAATTCTTCTGTAGCTCCGATTAGAATTAAAATAATTTCTCACTTCGTCATGTATATTTTGTGCCTCAAATAAATTGGCAATGCCATCATCATCATCGATGTTCAACAAAAAATGATCTAATACCCGAAAGTTTGCTCATCGACAATTATACCCAACTATATATATATAATGTATCTATATTATATCTATATTCCTTAGCTGCGACGCAAATTCCGTTGCATTTGTACTTGAGATTTACTTTTCAACTGGCAAACATGCAAAAGTCTAATCAACTTGCAAAAAAATACAAAATTTGAATTCATAAAAAGTTGCGTAATCCTTCAGTACTTAAAAATTATTTTTGTGTATTTCCAGGCAAGCTTATTATGTATTTGTTTATAATTATTTCTGGATTTTTAAATCAATTTTGAGCTGTTTATCTTTTGGACATACAAAAATGTATATATAAAATATAATATAAAATAAATTGCTTATGAGGTTGCGGCATGAATGTTTTTTTTTTTTTTTTTTTTTTTTCTATCAAATATATTTCTTAAAGCTTCGGAAATATCTTATTGAGCTGTGTTCAACTGGTATTTAATTTACAATTATTCTGAAAAGGATCTGTGATGTTGTTCACTTGAAAAAAAAAAAAAAATCAGTATATATTTGCGAAATAATAATAATAATAATTATCTGAATCTGATTTGCATCTTTCGACTAAATATCAAAGAAACATTCTTTCAATATATAATTTTATACTGACTCGGAATACAATTTCTTAACATCGTTGCTAAAGAATAATAAACAACAGAAACGTATGCATAAAAAAATAGTAAAAATTTAAATAAAATATAGGAAAAAAAATTATTTTACGTTGCATTAAAATATAATAAATAAAATCTAAAAACAATAACAAAATGCTACAGGCATTTGCATTGCCAATTTGTCACTTCGCACAAAACAATGTGTCAGAGAGAGTGAGATAGAGGAGGGAGAGCAAGAGAGAATACAATAAAGCGAAAACGTTGCCCAAATGAGGTAATCGCGTAATTATAAATTTAGCTGTTTTTGTTGTCGACTTTTTAATTTTTAACAGTGCGCTGTTAACTCACGCGCTGCTGCCAGCTGTTTGCCGTTCCAATCCCATTTCGTTTCACCGCCGTTTGTTGTCTCTCGGTTCTTTGAGAAGCCGGCATTTTTTGCTGCTTATCGAAACCGGCAAAAATGATTTGTTATTGCCTTATCATTTCGAGCGCTAAACATGCAATATATATTATATGCATACATACATATAAATATTTAAGTAAAGATGTATAGCACGTCAATTGCATTTATGTTTTGTTTTTTTTTTTTTTGGGGATTTTTGAATTAAGGCGACTTGCGGCATATTTGACAACTGAAATCAGCGGCGAATTTTTGGTTTGCTAATGAGTGAGGTAAACTTTTGCCGTACGCCGCAGTTTCAATGCCAAGCGCATATTTAATATACAAATTGTTAAGTGTTGTTGCTGTCGCTGTGGCAGTTGTTGCTGCTCTCTTTCCCCTTCACTCTCTTACTCAATGCGTGCGCCTGTTTGCCTATGTGTGTGTGTAAGTGTGAGTGCGAGTGCGAGTGTGAGACTGTGGTGAGTTAGCACCAGTAGCAGCAGTTTTTGTTCTTTTATTTCCGTCTCGCATTGCCACTGTTAACGCTGATCGCTCGCACGAACGCCAACTGAGACGTCGACGTCGCGTCGCTGAAACTTTTTGGCAATTTTTGTGCGCTGAGAATTATTTTAGTTTTAATTTAGAGTTAGTTGCAAGCGGACGTGTTTTCGCTATAGCTGGATGGCTGGAAATTAAATACGAAGAAGCGACCGCACGAGCATAATAAAGAAATATATATATGTATATCAGAGATATATATATAGACGCATATTTTTAAATCAAATAAAATACAATTTAATTAGGAAGCAGTAGAAATAGAAGCAGCAAACACACAAACAGACGAAGAAGCGACAGCCCAAAGAGAAACCAGTAAAGTATTTAATTCGCATAACTGTGCAGCGGTCTCGAAAGCACCGTTAAGGCGCACAGTTCAACAATTTGAAATACTATACGTAATAATTTTTTCGTTTCATGCACTGGCACTTGCTAAAACGCCGCTTTGTGGATTACCAGGCGTATACGCAATTTGAAGAGAGTCGAGTTTTATAGCTGCTGAATTTCGCAAGAAATTCAAGTTTCAAGCAAAAGAAACAAACGAATTAAAAATAAAACAAAGTTGAGGAATAAGAAGCAGTTAACAATTGTTAAGCACACGTCTGCCTCCCCAGTCAGGAGGTGCGATTGTTGTCGCTAAACAACTGGCAAAAAAAAGCGAAATAGTAAAGTCAAATAAAAGACAGCAGCAAGGGACAAGAGAAAGAGAAAGAGCCGAATGCTAATTGCTAACACGCACTCTCCAAAACGACGTCGTCAAAAGCAAAAGGTGAATGTTTATTAAACACAAGTTAACTTAAGTTAGCTTCACACTGCCTGCCGCGCCGTGTGGCATGATTAAGTCATCGAGGCCGGTTAAAAAGTCGGAGTCGCTCGGTTCGGTTTATGTAAAAAGCAGCCTCAATTTTCTAGCCGGCTGTTTGCCTTTTTGTTGCTTGTTGTTGGGTTCGGCGCACGGACGGGTCCGGTCTTTTAGCGAGGTCGTCAGGTGTTGTTGTTGTTTGTATTGAGAGAAGTGCTTTGCTTAGCGACGCGTGTCTCTGATTTAAATCGATGACGTCGTCGTCGTCGTTGTCGGTGCCGTTGTCATCGCCGCATCTAAAATAGCTAACGCTCACTCAGTGCTCATCGACAGACATTCAATTACAATAATTGATCAAACTGAGCGCCGTGATTTCAATGTTTTATTTTCGTCTCTTCAAAAACATATATTTTTCTATACACACGCCTCTCTGGCTTTCGCTTTTCACTTAGTTTCGCTCGCATTGCGAACATTCTTCGCCATTTCAATTCAAAATATCCACTAAATTTAATAGATTAATTTGTAGAGTAGGCAAATGGCAAATCGCTGCTCAAAATAGCTGCAGAAAAAAACAAAAAAAAAAAAAAAAAGCTAGAAGCAAAAAAAAAAAAAAAAAAAAAAAAAAAAACAAACAAAAATTAATCTGCATGAATTTTTATTGTGTTATTTAAGGCTCAATTTATTCGCATGTTTGAAATACCCTGTTTTAGCAAAAAAAAAAAAAAAAAAAAAAAAAAAAAACTGGTAAAATCTGAGAAAAAAAATTGCTTTTGCTTATGGCAGAACAATTTTTCAACTTTTACTGAGGTTTCTGGACTAATAGAAAATTTGTTAGGCAATTAGTTTAATTTAAATAAGTTGAGTAAGAAATTATTATTTCTCGAGCTATATTAGCAGCTGTTGTTGCTTACTGTTTCTAATTCTAAATGAGAATTTGAATTCGAATATAAATTTATGAGTGAATAGAAATCAAATTGTTAAAAAATTGACGCTTTGAATATGTTTAAAAAACCCTTAGAATATTTTTTTAGGTATATCCAACTGTGATTTTTGTTTGAATGATTATAGCTTTTCTAAACATCGGATATTAGAAACTTGGGCGATTAGTTCATGTCTAAAACCTTTAGCTTTCAAGTCATTGCTGAAATTTACTTATTTTTCATAATTTATATCTTTAAAATAATTTCCTTTTATCTATCAGACTTTTGTTTTCGAAAGCTTTTTAGCTTTTTACTATTTGTCTAACTTTTTGTATAGTGTTCAGATATGCTGGTCCCGCAAATTCGTATGCTTCATGATATGACTAATTAGCTTCCTTGTTTTATTTCGAACCAATTTTGCTCTTGCCTTAGTCACTCTGGCTTTCACTGGGTATCTACTAGTTGGGCTCATCATAATACTCTCTTTTTTTGTTTTTCTTTTACAATTAATGCGCTAAAAACTGTTTTCGAAAATGAATGTGTTCTTTCAGCCTCAATTGGCTGCTAGCCAACATGTATTGACTTGGCCTTCTCAAGGCGCATTGCTCTTCCGTTTCAATTGTTGCCGTTGTTGCTGTAAAGGGCAGCAGGCGACACAGCGTCCTTCAGTGCTTAGCCATAAATATTTTCGTGCACTCACGACTTTACTACAATTTTGTATTTTAATTGCTGCCTTCAAGTGCTGCTACACTTGTCTGAGGCAGCGGCACAAAACACTTGTTGGCTTCATTTAGCGCCCACATGGCGTATGAGTAACATGAACATTAAGTTTCTGGAATAAAAGCAAATAAAACAACAACAAAATAGATTGTAAAGTAAAAAGCAAATAGAGAGATTTGCTCTCGAGCATCTCTCCCTGAGTCATTTCGCGTGCAGCATTCTCAGATGACGTCAGCTGCATTTTGATTTGCTTTGACCAAGTTTCGCTTGGACTGCGAATAAATAAATATAACATAAATACGTGTTTAAAAATATAAATGTCTGCATAAAAATAAACGCAGCCGTTAAGCAGGCCGCGCCGCGCCTCGTACAACATAAATAATAATAATAATAACAAATTTAAAAGACACACATGAAATGTTTAAACAAAATAAAATATTTTCGAAAATCTTGAGAGGCAGCGCGTAGACTCGCTCTCGCTCTCGCTTAAAAGAAAAGCAGTTCAAGGCGTTTGCCGAATATACAAAAAATAAAATTCGAATTTCGGACTTCGAATTCGAATTCAATTGTTGAATTCGTAATACTCGCATGCCGTGTCTAGTCAAAATTTTCGACATCACCATTCATTTAGGAAACTCTCTTGTAGTCAAACGGCAGCATTAATTTCCACGGAAATCTTCGCAATCGCCTCGAGGCCAACAGCTCCCAGACCCCATAGTGGATACACATAAAGCGAACAACTTCAGCCATCAGCAAAAAAAAAAAAAAAAAAAGAACTTTTCTATAATATATATCAAATATATATAGAGAGATATATTCAATATATATTCGTATATATATCTATTGTGTGTACAGCACGCGTAGTTCTATTGAGGTTCTATTCTAGAGGAAAAGACGAACCGCGTGGTTTTTCACACGCCCACAGACACACTTGCAAACTGTTTACATATTATATTCTATATTATAGGCAGCTATATTTCAGATACGTCATTGACTAATACGCCCCGGGCAAACGTTTTCTGCTCTGCTCTCTCTCCGAATTCATTACAGATTGAACGACACGCTACGCGAGAAGGACCAACAGGCTAGCAGGGATCTCGAGGAGATCGAGCAAGTGTTCCGCCGCATCTCACAGCTGCAGGACAAATTGAACGCACTACACGAACAGCTTCAGGCCGTACACGTCTACGACGAGCACATTGCCCAAACGGAACAGGCCCTCATCAAACTCAATAGTCAGGTGCAGCAGGCCGGCGAGGAGAGTCGCGCGCTTGTCGCGCAAACCCAAGCGCTCTATCAGAACAAACAGAATCAATTGCCCAGTGATATTGCCCAGGAGTTTACCGCACTTGAGCTGCTAGCAGAACGCGTGCAGGTAACAATGGAGACCAAAGAGAAGGATTTCAAGCGCGCCAAGACCGTGCGCACTGACTATTTGGCCGGTGTCGACGAGATTCAGCGCTGGCTGCTGCAGGCCGAGGTGCAGGTGCAGGAGCGCACACTGGAGCCGACACAAATGAAGGAGCTGCTGCAGCGCATCAATCACGAAATCGGTGCCATCTACGAACGCTTCACGCTGGTCAAGACCAACGGCCAGCTGATCATTGAGAATTGTCGCAACAGCGAGGAGAAGACGCTGGTGCAGTCGACCATTGATCAGTTGGCCGCTCAGCTAGCCCAAGTGCGCGGCTGGCTGGACGAGAAGAAGCAGGCTGTGGGCGATAGTTTGGATGCTTGGACGCGTTTCATGAATCTGTACCAGATTGTCATGTCGTGGGTAGCGGACAAGCGTACGTTCATCGATCAAACCATTGAGCTGCGCACGCTGCCCGAGGCGCGATCCAAGCTGAATGACTATGTGACGGCTGTGAAGAGTATTAAACCGATTGTAAAGCATTTGAGCGAAATGGATAAGGAACTGGAGCACATTGGTCAAGTGACGACCGTGGGCGATCTCAAGGACAAACTGCAGCAGGCCGAGGATGCGAAGATAGCCGTGGAAGCAGTGCTGCTGGAGAGGGTAAAGCGGGCGAAAGTTAATCCTTAGCTTGAACCTATTTGATTTCTCGTTTGTCTTTTCTCTTGTCAACCCCAACAGAACTCGCTGCTGCAGGAGGCCTGTGAAGAGTGGGATCAATGTGAGCGCAAGATCAAGGATATTCGTGCCTGGCACGAGAAGACCAAACAGACCTTAGACTCCTCGCCACAGCAAAAGAAGCCGCTGCGCGATCAGCTGGGCTACTGTGAAAAGACTCTGGCCGACATAAATGTGCAAAAAACCAAACTGAGATTGTCTATTGAAAAACTGGAGGTAAGTGACAGAAGCTGGCATAGCTAATCCGGAATGCATTTCCATGCGCCACACCGCCTTCTTTTTGGCTTGCAGGTGCACTTCCGCAACGGCATGGGCGGTGATCCGCGCCTGAGCGAAAATGTTGACGATTTGGTGCGCGTGCTCGATGGCCTCGGTGAACTGGTGAAGACCAAGTCACAGAGTCTCGAGCAGACGCTGGCCCAAATCGATGTCTATCAACAGCAAATGCAAACGCTCCGCCAGCGTATTATACAGGAGGAGCAGCAGCTGCGTCAGGTTATGGCGCCCACGTACTTGCCGCACGATCGTGAGCGCGCATTAGCCGAGCAACAGGTACGTACTCCCTGAAAGCATCTGAAACTATTTTCTTATATGTAGAGCCCAATCAGTTATTGTTTAGACCAGTTAGCATATAAAAAAAAAAGCTAGCCAAAGCCAGGAAATTATCTCTCAGTCTAGGAACAACTCCCCGATATCTATCTATCTATATCATAATTAGCTCTCACTTTGGTAGCTCTCGTAAATAACAGCAACTGTTAAGCTAAGCTGAATACGAATATGTCCCGAAGTTTTTCGATTTAGTATATACCCCTTCTCCATCATAATAATCATGCTAATTATTTATATATATATTGAACGATTCTAAATTTTGAGTTTTGTGCTATGCAACAGTTGACAGAACAACCAGTTTGTTAGCCCAAAAGTTATTAACCCTCAAGTAACCACAAATAGATCAAGTTCAATTTTCAATAAATTTTTAATAATCCAAAAAAAAAAAAAAAAAAAGATGAAATATTGTGCGGGTAGGTCCGGAAAAAGAAAACCAAAGTTGCACGGTGGCTGCGTATTTAGTTCTACGTTAAATTATACAATTTATTTATTTTTTTATTTTCAATTTTGCCTCTTTTCATTTTCATTTTCTTTTATTTTGAATTTTCAAGTGCGCATTTCGCATAATAAATTTTCAATTTTCTGTTTTTATGCGGCATATAATTTATAAATTCTCTTTCCATTTCGCTTAGAGAACAGAAATTTTCTTAAGTTTTTATTATTTTCGAATTCGATTTATGCCATTCATTTCTCATACACACGCACACACACAGCCACACATACATATACTTACATTATTCATTTTTGTGCTCTCTTATGTTCTTTTAATTTGCGAACGAACAACAACATCAAAATCATGTCATACCAACCGTGCAGCTCATCCAACATCGAAAAACTCATCCGCCTCGTACATGTAGTACATATAATACATCTCGTATCCATATAGTATATGCCATGCTCTTATACCATATCATATACATATATATACTCTTGATGCCCATCATTGTTATGTCTGCCTTGTCAAAAACAAAAACAAAAACAAAAACCCGAAGCATTTGTTGTGTCTGTAAAACAAATTCGATTCCGTTTTCGACTCATTGTCACGTGCCGGAAAGAAATATTCAAATAAGTTCTTGTTAGCCGGGGGTAGCCCAAAAAAAGCTATAATATGGAAATATATTTTCGAAATTCTAAAAATTCCTTCTCCAGCCCATTATTCAGTCAGCTATTTTAAGCAATGTCGGATTAACGTTTACGAATTTATTTCACACATGAAAAAAATGTTTGTATATATATTTATAGATATAGATATATATAAAGAGCAGGCCTTCTGTTTTGTATATTTTATATTAGTTTTAAATAAATTTCATTTTAAGTTTACATTGCGAATTGCAGTGTTGGCGGTAAGTGGCAAATTTTAAAGTCAATTTAAAATTCGTTTTAAAGATTTAAAAAACTTTGAAAATGTTGAAAATTTTTTTTATGAAATTAAACAATTTTTACAGTAGCTAAATATTTTTTGGGGCAACTCTTGCTATGAGAACTTATTTACGATTCACCTATCACCAAGTACAGTTGAAACTCAACATGACGGCACATATACGAAAGTACATCAATAACATTTGATATCGTATCAAATCACGTCACATTAAATCACTTCACTTCACATCGCATCACATCACATCACATCACATTTCGTGTCACAGTTAAGGAAACACATTATGCTTAAAGCTTAGATACTTTTTATTTATTTTTTTTTAAATAATTTTCATTATTATTATTTTGATTGAATTAGTTAGCTTTATGGCCGGGCAGACATTTTCACATTAAGCCGCTCGAAGTCACAGCTATTTCTATCTCTCTCTCTCTATTACCATAATAGCGCTCTCAGTTTTAGTTAAAAAATATGGTTACGGTTTTAATTTAAATTATATTTATTTTTTTGACAATTTGTATTTCTTTTTATCTTTTCTCTTGGTACATTCTTATTGAATAAAAAAAATCTGGTGTCGTTGCGCTGAAAAAAATCAATTAAAATTTCAAAACACTACATTAATTAAACATTAATTGAATTGTTCTTACTAATATCTGAAACATGCTTTAACCTATAACCAAACGGGGTTTTGGGCTTTGCTCGCTTGCCTCTTGTGCTATTTGCTAAAACTAAACATAATTTGTGACTAACTTAACAAACTCCTCTCGATGCTGCTGCTATATATCCTCAATGTAACACACACACATAAATCACACATACACACACACAAACACATGGGTATTGCGTACTTCTACAAATACAATAAAAAAATATATATATATAATATACATCTGGTATATGGTTGCTTTCTCTTATGGCGTATTTATGCTCGATGCCTACAAAAATATCAAAATTACGATTAAATGCTGACCTTATTGTAATTCTTCTTCGCCGAACATTTCTCTCTCTCTTCTTTTTATCTCTCTCTCTCTTATATAATGCACCATACGCATAACCAATATCACCCCAAACATATATATAAATATATACGAATCTATATAGGCATGTCGTGAACGTGTCAAAAACTTGCATTCGAAAATAACCGCACGTAATGAGCGCATCAAATTGTTGATACATCGCGGCACGCCGGACGATGCTAAGCTAGAGATTTAGAGATGCCGCACAGCTATGGCAGACACTACTTATTAAGTCTATAACTATCTATATATTTATATACCGATGTATACTACATACATATACTAGAACTAGTTCGCCAAAGAAATGAAATTGAAAACCAAAGCAAAAGCTAAGCAGCCACCGCGGCGTCTCATGTTTACAGCTGCCACTGCAACAATCTCCCAATTTGGCAGTGGCAACAGCTAAACATGCCAGAATCAGCCGTAATAAATAAATATATATATATACAACTTACATGACCCACAGCTTAAGAAAATTTACAAAAAAAAAAGAAAGATTAATTTATTAAATTATATATTATTTTTAAAATGAAAGCCCCACCAAGCGTATTTATTTAATTAGATGAGCCCAGTCTTAGACAGTTGATTTAGGTAGCTGTTAGGCCCATGATCTTTCAAACAAATGAAAGCTAACCGTTTTTGGCAAATCTTCCCCCAATCTCTTTCTCCCAACACACACACTCTATCTATATATCGATCGTTACGTGAACGCATAGGCCTTGCGACAATCAATCGATGGCATGCAGCAAAGCTACGACGCAACCGCCGCCCAATCCTATGCTCTGGATCCACATTCAGTGGTAACCACTTCATCGACTGTCTCGTTGCTTATGAAGCCAACGGCAGTAGGTCTAACCTATGCTGAAGTGTTATCAGGACATGCGAGTCCGGTAAGCAGTAATGAAACGGCGACGATCCCCCGACAAAAAATTCAAGAAACTCCCGACACGACCACGACCCAGACAACAATAACGACCAGCCAACACCAGCAAGAACAACAACAACAACATCAACAACAAACGAACCTAAACCAGCGGAATACAATCACAACAACAACAACAACCACACGAACTATATTGACATCAAACGTACGTACGCACGAGGAAGAAGAAACGACCTCGGAACCATTAACCACTGTGCTCTATCAGCGCAAACAGCGTGTTACACCACCCAGCAGCAGCAACAATACTACCTCCGACTATGAAGAGACAACTGTCAACAATTCTCAAATGGAAACGTCTAGCAGCACATCAACAATAGATCAACAAGTTCCTAGCATTAGCACCAATCCGAATAGTCAGTTTATCGAAATGGAGCGCAGTCAGCAGCGTATGAATACGGGTAAGAAATTGCAGCCGCCGCGTCCCGAACGTCGTGCACGTTCACCGCGACGCAGACGCGAACCACAAAGCGCTGTACAGGTGGAAAGCACACAAACGCATCAGCAACAGCAACATCCTCAACAACAACAGCAACAACAACAGCAACAATACCAACATCTTTATCTGCCGCAAGAGGATCGCGCGCGGTCGCGTAGCCCCATTTGGGTGCCGGGTTCGACATCGTATGCAGAAGTTTTGCGTGGTATGGAGCTAGAACGTTTAAAGGCCGAGGAGTTGGCTAGGCAAACGGCCCAGCCGCATACAGATCTGACCATACAGGATGTCGTAGATGCCAGTGGTGCAGCGGGAAATATTTTTGTGCCACGTAACAAACCTGAGCAGCATCAGCAGCAAATGGATCAGTTCATAGGCGAGCCCAGTGCAGACTTGGGCTATGCTCAGCCGCAGGTAGAGCAGAAGCAGATATCCAATTATGAAGTGCCCATGACAGCGGAGGAGATTGCCGCCACCTATTTGCAACCAGATCTACAACTGTATCAGACCATGTACGAGAATGTGGCCGACAGCGGTCAGTGGAGCTATGTGGCTGGATCGAGCGGTGAGCCACAGCAGCAGGCAGTGCCACAAAACTACTATGATCAAATGATGCAGATGCAATATCCCATACAATACCAGCCTGTGGCAGGGCCGCCAACGACTACACAGTACCAGCTGCTAACGGGTTATTATCAGCCTGTTGCGCAAACGGAGACCTATCCAACGGTATATACGACGGAGCCTTCGCAAATCTATTATGCCCAACAGCCGCAGGTGTACACACAGGAGTATACTCAGCAGCAACAGCAGCAGCAGCAACCGCAGCAAACAGAAATTAGTACGGACGTACCCGTCTATCAGCCGGAGATTGTAAATCAAGCTTATCTGCTTGAGCCTTACCGGCCGGAAGTGAATCAGGCAACAACATCCACAACAGGTAATAGCGTACTCGACCGTGTGGTGACAACTCTCGCATCGATGGTGCAACAGAGTGCCGAGCCGCTAACAACGAGCACACAGCAAATTCAGGCGACGGTTGTAACGCCACAAGCAGCTCAGGAACAGGTGCCAGCACCACAGCCGGTATTCATTGAGGAGCATGTGCAGATGCTGCGACCAGTGGAACCGCAAGAGTTTGAAATGGATGAACCACGGCCCGACATAACTTTTGGT